GACATGGGAGTGAATAAAAAAGCTGAAAGCTGTCTCTTTAAGTTAACAAAATGTTTTCAGATGATAACAAAGGCGTTTCTATAGACAAAATTTAATTAAACAACCAAATTGAGCAGCCAAAATGACAAGATTTCAATTGACAATTAGAAAAATGAAGTAAGAAAACAATAATGAGAGTGGAATAGAAGAGATGCGGTAAAGATTTGGAGAGCTGATATAGAAACGATGGAGACATAAAACAGAAAAAAATGCTTTAGTGACTTGTCATTTAGCAGACGTGTTCTTGATGTCAGAAACACCCTGTCCAGACCTTATATCCCAAAGGGCCGCGTGTCAGAAGCCGCCTGGAGGGTTTCTGCCCCAAGGCCGCACTGTAAGCTAAAAAAGTCTGGTTAACATAACGGCAAATTTGCATGTTTTGACTGCATAGTAGGAAGCAGTCGCCTAGACCAATCGAACGAGGAAAAAATGCACTTGCAAAATGGTGTATGAAAGCGTTCACACAGCCGGGCTCATGCATATCCAGACCTGAAGTGTTTGAATTCATACTCTTCATCGTTCAGAGTTCCAAACGTGTTTATTTTCCACGCATTTGGAAAGTGTTTGTTAGCTGTCTAAAGCCGTGTGTCAATACGTGGCCACAGTCATTAGTCTGTTTTGCTGCTGTATTTGAAGGGGACTCGACTCTGGCTGTCATGGACTATTACAGCTGTGTCTCATTAGGCTGTTGTAGACCATAATACTGTTACTCTTTCGCACAAAACTTACATAAGGGTGTTGTAAAATTCCCAGAGCAGGTGTTAGAAATGCTGGTGAAGTTTATGATCACCTGTGGTGCATGACATACAGCCAAACTCGACAACAGTGTTTTCACTGTTGCGATAAAATAATCAGAAGCATTCGTTGCCGTCTTATAATTAGCGCACACAATGAAACTGCATCCACAGAGCTCTGTGGATAGTTATGTTTATCCAACATTGATATGTTTTTTTTTTTTTTTAATACACTTCTATTTTTCTCAATCTTATAATGCATTCAGTTTCCTGTTGTTTTGGTATTTGGTCATATCATGTTGTTTCAGTGTAAATATGACTAAATTGAAAGAGTTAGAATTCTAATGATCTAAAAGAAAAACTCCACAGATAACAGACTGCCAGGTGAAAGTTTAGGGTCAGCAGGATTTTTAAATGTTTTAAAATCGGCTCCTCCCGCTCATCAAGGCTGCATTTATTTCATCAAAAATACAGTACAAATTGTACAATTGTGAAATGTTATTGAACTAAAATAACTGTTCAAAAGTAGTTTATAATTTAATTTGATCATTTTTTTCAGTGATTTTAAAGATGAATTTTCAGCTTCATTACTCCATAGTCACATGATCCTTTAGAAATCACTTTAATATTAATTAGTATGAATATTATTATTATTAATATTATTAAAAATAATTGTAATATTAATAAAGGTAATAATGACAGGATTAATAATTTCATTCAAAACTACATACAATAAGAAAGCAGTTATTTGACATTTTAATAAATATTTAACAATTTAACAATTTTTACATTTAATAAATACATCCTAAATGAACAGAATCATTTTCTTTAAAAAAAAAAACATGAAAAAAACTGACCCCAAACTGTGTACATATTAATTTTTTGTTTACATTCTCACAGATTTATTAAGTATTGTGGTAAATTTGATGATGCTTTAGCTACCAAGTTTGGTATTAGTATGTTTAGTGGTCTTTTTATTTTGTTATTAAAATTAATTCAAGTTTGCTAATGATTATTAAAATTAGTTACACATACAGTTGCAATTAGACTTATTAAACCCACTGAATTATTAGCTCCACTGTTTTTGCCCTAATTTCTGTTTAATGAAGAGAACATTCTCTCAACACATTTCTAAACATAATATTTTTAATAACTCATTTCTAATTACTGTTTTTTTATCTTTGCTATGATGACAGTAAATAATATTTGACTAGATATTTTTTCAAGACACTTCTATGCAGCTTAAAGTGACATTTAAAGGCTTAACTAGGTTAATTAAGTTAACTAGGCACTAGGCAGGTTAGGGTATTTAAGCAAGTTATTGTATAATGATGGTATCGTTCTTTCGACTATTGAAAAAATAGAGCTTAAAGCGACTAATAATATTGTCTTAAAAATGTTTAAAAAAAAAAAATTAAAAACTGCTATTATTCTAGCCAAAATAAAATAAATCAGACTTTCTCTAGAAGAAAAAATATTATTAGACATACTGTGAACATTTCTTTGCTTTGTTAAACATAATTTGGGAGATATTTAAAAAAGAAAAAAAAAAATCGAAGGGGGGCCAATAATTCTTATTGCAACTGTTAATTACAATGTGTTACATTAATTTCCTTGATTCCCCATTCATAGAGTCCAATTGCATTTACATTCTCATAAATGACTTGAGATATCTTGTTAAATTTATAAAAAAAAAATTGCTTCAAAAAAGGGGATCTACCTACATAAAATTGGATGATTAGTATATCTGGTACGTTTGGGTATTTAATGTAGTTCCAGTTTTCGAATGATAATTTTGTTTTTATTATTAAACAGTCATTCATGCATTCATATTATTTTTGGTTTAGTTTGGTTTTATTACTCTGGGGTTGCCAAAGCGGCCAACTTATCCAGCAGATGTTTTACGCAGCAGATGCCCTTCCAGTCACAGCCCAACACATACACTCTTGCATTCACACACACTCATATACTTCTGCCATTTCATTCATTTATTTTCTTTTCGACTTAGTCGCTTAAATAATCTGGGGTTGCCACAGCATAATGAACAGCCAACTTATCCAGCATATGTTTTACACAGTGGATGCCCTTCCAGCTGCTACCTATCACTGGGAAACATCCATACACACTCATTTACACTCAATTTAGCTTATTCAATTAACCTATAGCGCATGTGTTTGAACTTGAAACAGGAGTACCCATGGGAAACCCACACAAACACGGGGAGAACATGCAAACTTCACACAGAAATGTCCCAGCTGGGGCTCAAACGAGTGACCTTCCTGCTGTGAGGCGATCATGCTACCCACCATGCCACCGTGACCCTATTATTTAAACACTTTACACAAATTTCTAATTATCTAGAGCAGTGGTTCTCAAACTGTGGTACGTGTACCACTAGTGGTACGCAGGCTTCCTTCTAGTGGTACGCGGAGGAATGAAATATGTCATGTACATGCTACACACATTTAAAAATTTATCAAAAATGATGAATATAATATGCCATTTATGACATATAGCCTATATTTCTGAGGTAATCTGCCACGTTTTTTTTAACTGTGCAGAGTTGTAGCTGCTTTACTGGGCCTACTACGGTACTGTATTTCAATACTGCTAATTTTTGGTGGTACTTGGAGAGACAATTTTTTTCTGAGGTGGTACTTGACAAAAAAAAGTTTGAGAACCACTGATCTAGAGAACCAATAACTCCATAGATTCTATACTGGCCTGGTTTGTGTTTATTGAAGTATTGGTAACACAGTTATTTTTTTTGTTGCTATTTTATTGTTATAAAAACTATTTGGTTTAGCTTGACAACAGACAATATACACTATACTACTGACTGTAGTATTGGTAGTCTAGTAACCAGAAGTAAACAAGGCAAGCATAAATAAGTCAGCTGATTAGTCGTGTGGATGTTTCCATCTCCCATTGTTTGCATTACCATTTTTTTGCAGTCTAAAACTTCAAGTAAAAAAAAAGAAAAGAAAAAAAAAAGCGTGTTTTTTTGCAATTTGAAGTCCCAGATGAACTGGAAGCTGCAATCGTTAATTAATTTGTTTTTTGTATTGAGATGCAATTCCTATTCCTAATTTTAAATGAGCAGTGGGCGTGGCTTGTTTTTTCTACCATAGGCTGAACGAATGTAGTAAAGTAGGCGATTCATTCAGAAAGATCGGGAAAAGGGTTTTATTAGAGTTATTAAAACCTAACAGACTCCTCCTGCTCTCCATTTCTGTTTGTTGCCAAAACCGACAGTTAGACCAGTGTGGTTAAGTATGTTAGCCACGTCCATTACCTCAAAATCTCAGAATTGGATATTTTAACTGAAAACAAACAGGAAGTGCATTTTCAGGTTTTCATTAAAGATTAGAAGGGCAAACATTTTTTTCTTATTGACATGAACAGATGAAACCACAAAACTGGCAATGTGAGCTAACAAAAATATATGGCTAGTTTTGATTTCTTGGGGACTTTAAGGAATTAAAAAAAAAATTATATATATATTATATATATATTTGCATTTCCATCACACATTTTTCATGGGATACTTTTAAATGTGCATTAACACAGGGTGATGGAAACCCAACTAATAACAAAAATCTTTTAAGTATGTGCCCAATACTGCTGTCCCTACATACTGTAGTACGCATGATCGCAAATTTGGAAGAGATTTGAACAGAGACACTTTCAGTAAAGGCAACATGTTGACAGTGGCTCTATGATGTGTGGAAATCATCTATAACATTTTCTTCTTCAATATATCGCAAGGGTTTATATAATACATTGACTTATGGATTGATTGCAAATTACACATGCTTCTTATGACTGGGCCCAAACGGAATCTGGACTCACAGAAACCTGAAGATTTTTATCCCATAATTGAGTCTATTTATTACTTGAGTCAGTGTGTGTACATTTAAATTTATTTAGTTGTTTAAAACTATTTTCAGTATTATTATTGACTGGTATGAAAATTTTCATGTGATTTATTTATAATACAGTTTGTGAAGTAACATTTTCTGTCTTTTAGTAGATGTTTTACATAAGACACTTGCTTTGTTTACTAAATGAGTGGATCTAATTGGATTTGCATTGTAAACCATTAAATAAATGTTAAAAAAGTATTAGTTTTTAATATAATATATATATTTTGTTTTTACGATATTCCCAAAATCATTCCACATAAACCTACACATTTTTAATTTTTTTTTCAAAGTTTTGCGCTGAAATAACAAAAAATATCAGGAAGTTTGCTTATGACCATGCAAGTAATGACTCAATAATTTTTTTCTCTGTTGTATATAATATTTTTTGTCCGTTTTATTGATTTAAATTTACATGACTAGAAAAGTTCATTTGATTCAACTAAAAAATCTAAGGCAGAATCTTTTTGAAGTGTAGAGATTAGGCTTTTTAGGCTTAATTTTTTATTTTGTTTTGCCACTAGGGCAAATTAAGAGGTGAAAATGTAGTTTCTGTTCACCACTGTGTGAAATCTCTGCCATGAAACTCTGCATGTGCAGGCTGATAGGTCACCTAATCTGCTTGGTTGCTGCCTCGGCAGCCAGTGAGCTTGCTCCTCATCAGTTTAAATGCTCCACATTGTTTTACTGTTAGCTGCAGCGCATTTTCGGAGATCCGCCTCCACCCCAGATCCACCTGTGTAAGATCTGCTAGGGTGGTTACATTATGTTTGCAGCAGCTGCTTGTTATATTCTCAGATGGCATGTCTGTGTATACTGACAGCAGCAGGTCTTGGTACTAGCTCTGCCAATCAAAGCAGCCGCAGCAGCAGCATAGCCGATCTATACCGCCAAGACTATATACATCAACATATCCATATACATATTCCCTACCATGCTAAATCCCGAGAGTGTTTATGACAGAAATAAATTTAAAGACTTCTGAGAATCCTGTTATTTGCAAAACTGTCCATAATTTTACCCATCAAGACATTATTTGATTGTGAAACATTAAAAAGTTATTTATTTTTAGCTTAGCTTAAAAATAAACATATTCAGAAGTAGTCATTTTATTTTGATATATGACCAAATCATTTTTAGGATTAAGGTGCACCACTAAATCATTTAAAATAAACAGCCACACTGTATTCTATCATTGTCAACCTCATTTACACATTTTTATCAAAGGTAACTTGTATTACTTCGAAGTTACACATATTAAGTTCTTGCTTTAATTGGAAATCAAACCAAAACTTTGGCATAACTGGTACCACACTTTTCTATTTGAGCTAAAACTAATGTTTTCACAATGCTATAGTGGTGTGATGCCTAAAACTATACCTCATCACCTGCTAAATTAATGCCTGATATAAATTGAACTGTAAAACACTCCTTATGGTGACAGTAGTTGTGGGCTCTATGTCGGCATCAACTGCAATGTCAGACAAGTGGCCCGATTACACTTCGTATGCATGAAACTGAATGGTTGGCATACCATTCCATTGTCAGTCTGTCATCCATGGCATTTAGCAGCATCATGGCACTGAACGGGGGATTCCTGTTCTCATGGTGAGCTGAAGAGAGAGAGAGAGAGAGAGAGAGAGAGAGAGAGAGAGAGAGAGAGAGAGAGAGAGAGAGAGAGAGAGAGAGAGATTTGTCTTGTCATTGGACTTTAATCAGCACTTGTAAAATGGGCAATAGAAATACTTCAGATTTTTGTCATTGTAATGAATTTTCTTTTATCTTGTATTGCCCTCTTCATAATTTGCCACCCTGTCAGTGTGCTGTGTTGTCGCACATGATAGGACTGCTGGATAGAGGCAACTGTATTTCAGCATTAACAATTGATCTGAAAACTGACCTGGGCCAATTATATGAACCTCCTTTTTTTCTCTTGACATTTATTTAGTTAGATGAAATAGCTTTCAAGGTATGTATGTATTTATTTATTGATTTAGTTAGTTAGTTAGTTGTTTTGTTTAAAATAGTCAGGTAAAATAATTGTTTAAAATATGTCAGGTATACATCCGCGCTAAATAGTTACACTGCAAAAAATGCTTTTCTTACTTAGATTTTTTGTCTTGTTTCTAGTCCAAATATCTAAACGTTCTTAAATCAAGAAGCATTTTCTAGACAAGCAAAACATATTTTCCTGTTTTAAGAAATAATATGCCAAAATGAAGTGAGTTTTTTCTTAAATCAAGCAAAATAATCTGCCAATGAGGTAAGCAAAATAATCTTATCACAAATCGAAAAAGAAGATTATTTTGCTTACCCCATTGGCAGATTATTTTGCTTGATTTGAGGAAAAACTCACTTTATTTTGGCATATTATTTCTTAAAACAGGACAATATGTTTTGCTTGTTTAGAAAATGCTTCTTGATTGAAGAATTTGTAGATATTTGGACTAGAAATGAGACAAAAAAAAATCTAAGTAAGAAAAGCATTTTTGTATGTATGCAAAATAAATTATAGTAATATCTATCTATCTATCTATCTATCTATCTATCTATCTATCTATCTATCTATCTATCTATCTATCTATCTATCTATCTATCTATCTATCTATCTATCTATCTATCTATCTATCTATCTATCTATCTATCTATCTATCTATCTATCTATCTATCTATCTATCATCTATCTATCTATCTATCTATCTATCTATCTATCTATCTATCTATCTATCTATCTATCTATCTATCTATCTATCTATCTATCTTTCTGTCTCTCTGTCTGTCTGTCTGTCTGTCTGTCTGTCTGTCTGTATATGTATATATTAAAATATTATTTTTGTCAATAATGCACCTCAAATTAATTGTGTACAAATAAGCTCAAAAAAAAAAAAAAAACTTTGCTAATTTACAAGATTTAAAATATACAGTATAGCAGGGTTGAATATGACACGTTACTTTTGCATAATGAATGCTAATGCTATAAAATTAAATACACAAATTTAAATATTACATAAAACTATTTAAAAATGCAAAATACACACACTCAAGGTGTAAGAAAGTTGGTTCATTACTTTTACATGTTGCTTACATTTTTAAGTGAACCTATTTTACAAAAACAGTGACGTTTTTCACAGTGAGAAGTAACAAAAAAAACATTTCTCACAATTTTAAAAGTTATTTCCTTTTCTTTATCTTGCTCTTATTTGTCGCTGACCTGCCTGATCCAAGCCGCTAAAGTCATGGCCGGTGAGGTATTAAAAGGGCAGTTAAGGTGTCAGAAGAGCTGCTAATGACGGGCAGTTCATTGATACGCTGACCTCGGTGCATTGTGTCTGGTTTTAGCCACAGACTTGCCCGCACAACACTGAGAGGATCCTTTACATCTTATCCTGTGGTCAACAAAGGCACCATGGAGACCCAGGAGCACAGTGACTCTTCAGGGGTCAGTTTTAGTCTCTCAAAGATCCCTCCTAGAGTTTAGACTGAAGGGCCATTCACAAGGATGATAAATACAAAAATAAGGACAAAGATATCATTCTCAGAATCAGATCACAGCCATAATGATAACAGATTAGAAAAACAATATTGTTAGAATCATTTTCAGAGCTCATTTATTTCAGCTGATAAACTATAAAGCGCTAAGAGCCGGTCAGAATCCATTGAAATATAAAGTGCTCATGCATTTAAATGAAGAGAAGCTGACTGTTTGACGGTAAATAGTTAGTTCACCCAAAAATGTACTCACTATTCACTCACCCAAACCCGATTCCAAACCTTTATGAGTTTCTTTTTTCTGTTCAACGCAAAAGAAGATATTTTGAAGAAAGCTGAAAACCTGTAACCATTGACTTCTGTAGTAGGAAAAACAAACACTATGGAAATCAATGGTTACAGGTTGCCAGCATTTTTCAAAATATCTTTTTCTGTGTTTAACAGAAGAAAGACAATCATTCATTTCTTTTCTTTTCGGCTTAGTCTCTTTATTAATCAGGGGTTGCCACAGCGGAATGAACCGTCAACTTATTCAGCTTATGTTTTACGCAGCAGATGCCCTTCTTACCGCAACCCAACACTGGGAAACACCCATACACAAACACTACGGACAATTTAGCTCATTCAATTCACCTATAGCGCATGTCTTTGGACTGTGGGGAAAACCAGAACACACTCACGCGAACATGGGGAGAACATGCAAACTCCACAAAGAATAGCCAACTGACCCAGCTGGGGCTCGAACTAGCGACCTTCTTGTAGTGAGGCAGTCCTGCTACCCACTGCATCACAGTTATGTTGAAATAAACTTATACATTTTCAAAACAAGTAAAGGATGAGTAAATAGTGACAGAATTTGTATTGTTAAGTGAACTCTCTTTAGAAGATGTTTCCGTATCTGTTGAATTTGTCAGCGCCCTTTAAATGAATTAATATGTTCTAAGTAATCACTGTATTCTGTAAGAGTCACCATATGAAGAAATGGACCATTTTCTTTATAACAAACTGACAAATCTAGGCCTTTTATCACTGTCAATGTTAAACCATCATGTTTATTCACACAATTCAAAGGAAGGCATGAATACCATCACGTTCTCTGGAAAAACACTGACTTGCTATACTACTATGCTGTAATTGCTGAAACAGGTGGACATACCAAAGATTTCTCATATTTGTTGTGCTCAAAGCCAGGGTTATTGTAGTTTTGATTGTTAACCCTGGTTTGCTGTTAGGGATGTTTTAATCCACTTCAGGGTGATTTTGAAGTTTCTCACACCTTTCTCTGTTTCAGAAAATAGAGTGATTTTTGGTGACAAATCTTATTTTGACATGTACAGTGCTTAGCATAATTGAGTACAGCACATTTTGAAAATTAATATTTGTATCCATTTCTCAGTGTATATAGGCAATGTATTCTGGTGCATTTGAACAAAACAGATTTATTAAACAGATATGTTTATTAAATAATATTCTAGTCGCCAAACATATTTAGAAATTGATAGATAATACCATAAAATTCAAGCCAAATATTGCAAAAAAAATTACAATCTACAACATTTCAACGAAATTGTTCCTTTTTTGCTTCTCTTTGATTTTTTTTTTTTTTAATATAATCATGTGCTTGGCTGATGTGTTTGTCTGTAAAAATGTTATTTACAGGAACTTCTTTAAAGATTTTTTTCTTTAGATTTTCCACCAGTGAATGTTGTTAGATTCATTTAATTAATTTTTTTTATCTATTGTGAATGTTGAATTTGGATTTTAATGAACTTAAAAGAAGGTGGCAGAGTGGCTCAGTGGTTAGCACTGTTGCCTTACAGCAAGAAGGTTGCTGGTTTGAGTCCCAGCTGGGACAGTAGGTATTTCTGTTTGGAGTTTGCATGTTCACCTTGTGTTTGCATGACATTCATCCGAGTGCCCCTGCTTCCCCCACAGTCCAAAAACATGCGGTACAGGTGAATTGGGTTAACAAAATTTGCTGTAGTGTATGAGTGTGTGTGAATGTGTGAGTGTATGAATGTTTTCCAGTATGGGGTTGTGGCTGGAAGGGCATCTTCTGCATACATAAAACATATGCTGGAATAGTTGGCAGTTCATTCCGCGGTGGCAACCGCTCATAAATGACTAAGCCAAAGGAAAATTAATGAATGAAAATAACCTTGCTTAAAGCAACCAGTTCAATGTTTTATGACTAATAAATCATGTTTTGGAAGAAAAAACCCACAACTGTTGTTATCATTTATTAATCTATTCATTTTCCTTCAGCTTTAAGCTGATTTATACTTCTGCATCAAGCGCAAGTGTATGGTCTAGCGCAGCGGTCGCTGTCCTGTCCGTGGCCAACCCTGATACTGACTTGCACCTCTCAAAAAATATACTACTCATCGCAACAATGCACATCGCAAGCTCTATGATTGGTCAGCTTGATACCGGCGATGAGTGTAGGCGGTCCTGAGAGCTGCGAACTTGGTGGAGCAAGTGTTTACAAGTGTTGAGTCCCGTGAAGGAGCTCCAAAAGGAGACTTTTGTTTTGTAATTACTATAGGTGGGCATAGATAAATTTTTTAATCTAAATTATCTTGAAATTAATCTAGATGAATCTAGATTAAAATGGCTCATTTGAATTCTGCCGAAGGAATTCAGAATACGTGTGCCACCCAAATAATGACTAAAAGTAACTCTTTGAGGACGGGTTTCTCAAGCCATGTGGTGCATTAGACTAGGGGCTCATCTACGTTTTCCAAAATGAATCACAAACTGCTTGAGAGAATGTTCTACTATGATAATTGATGATGAAAATAAATGATGTTCAGTAAGATGTACCTGTGTTTACTAACTGTTTATTCAGCTAAACATGAATTTTGAACTGTAGGCCTACATGAGCTCAAAACATAAATTTTTTTTTCTTTTTTTATCACCTTAATTCGACTAAAGTCATTACTGAACTAAACAGCAATGGAATTAAGACATGTGGAGTATATTAGTGGCATTATTGACGTAAACACCAAAATCAAACTATTACTGTCATGTAGGACTTTTTCACATATTTTTCGAAAAGATCTACACACAGATCTACACAGGCTGTCAGTAAAGGACCGCACACAGACACACACACACACACACACACACGATAAATGGGGAAGTTTTTTCTTTCTATTTGGCGTGCGTTATTAAATTCCATAACACTCTCACCAATCCTTACTCCTTATTTACATCTAATACCCCAGTTTGTCACAGGGGCATGAATGATATGTTCCTGAGTTAAAGTGAAACTGCCAAACTGCAGTTGAAGTCACCCAAAATTACAGGAAACACACATCTTAATTATGGTATTTTCTATTAAGGCTAATAACTATACTACAGATGATGTCCATGTAAGCAT